ATATATATATATATATATATATATATATATATAAGATGAGATAAGCCCATTAGCTCATATGAATATATGAGTTCAACGTCCCAGATCTGACGATCACGAATGTTCGGTAGTATTTGAATTTTAGTGCTTTTTTTATAATCCAAATCACTTGAAATTTTAGGTGTGTGTTCATAAAAAATAAGTGAACTTTTGAATAATATCAAACAAATATTTTATATGAAAAACATTGACCAAAATATCGTCGAAATGTTTTAGGGGGTATGTTGATCATTTTATTTTTAACGGATAATTATTTTTATATTTTTATTAAGTGCAACTTGATGAGAAAAATATACACCTACAATTTTAAGTGATTTGGATTTGTAGATAAAAAACTAAAATTCAAACGGTACGGGACATCCGTGATCATCAGATCAGTCCAAATTCAATCTTGGCCGTTGGACTCATATGTTCATATGAGCTAGTGGGTTAATCTCATATTTTTCATATATATATATATATAACTTTTCCCAACGCCTCTAAGCGAAAATGAACAGTGATCTCGCCTTCCCTCATCACCATCCAAACTTCATCGCACGGTTACCGTAGTTAGGTAGCGTTTCAATTTTTATTTTTTTTCCTCCAAAGCCAAATTACTTGAAATTTGGAGCGTGTGTACATCCTAGTGAGGCACACCTAATAAAAATATGAAAAAAAATAATTCACAAAATATAAATTGATCAAAATACCCCCATAATTGATCAATTTATATTTTGTGAATTATTTTTTATATTTTTATTAGGTGCGTCTCACTAAGATGTACACACACTCCAAATTTCAAATCATTCCGATTTGTAGAAAAAAATGAAAAATAAAATACTACCGGACAATTATGACCATACGATGAAGTTTGGATAATGATGAAGGTAAGTAGAATCACTCTTCATTTTTGCCTATAGGTGTTTTGTAGTACCTTACATTTTATATATATATATATAGAGAGAGAGAGAGAAGGGGGTGGAGGATATTAAATGGGGTTAATGGTTAGATGGTGGCATTGGCAAAGTATACAAGTGTGTAATTTGTACAGTTTCAAACATCTGGTCAATTTTTTGTTATTATTCTTTGTTAGCATCTTATCACATATTAGCAGTGTATGTGCGTGGTTGAATCTATTTTGGAATGTCGAGGAAAGAGTGAGTTGAGAGACGTGCATAAGATACAGAGAGGTGTTCAGTTTTTAACTCTGAATAGAGAGGCATGCATGAGAGAGAGGGAGAGGGAGGCATGCACCTTAGACTTTGAAGAATATTGGGTTGAGATGGGAAAAATGCCAAGGCTGATTTGTTAGCTAAACAGAGGTGAGACATAGGGGCCTTTTCTAACCTAAACAATCACTATTTTCAACTGCAATGCTTGAATCTCACCCTAGGACATTGTTTTGCTTCATTCTTTGATTGCCCATTTTTTATTCAGCATTACAAGCATGAATAACTGCATTTTTTTTATATGACAACTACACAGTTGTACATGTTTCAGGCCTTTCCCATAGGATCCCCTCTTGCCACTGATATTTCTAAAGCTATCTTGGAGATGAAAGAAAGTGGAGAGATTATGCTTTTGGAAAGGAAGTGGCTATCCTCTGACCAATTACATCTGATGAAAGCAATGATGGTAGTCTCAACTTTGATTGCTTTTGGGCACTTTTCCTCCTCATTGGAGGCACTTCCACCCTTGTTCTCTTGTTCCATTTTGTGAGCTCCTTGTGCGACTATTTGTCGCAGTTGGGAAACTCCGACTCTGGCTGATTTTCATGGGTTTGGTTCTAGACTTGAGCCTACCAAGTCCAAGTAACCAGCTCGAGTCTGAGCCAGATACACTGAGTTTTGAGTCATTGTTTGTGAAGGACAGCATGGGGCAATCCTCAAAATCGAATCAATGTGCAGATGCTCGATATGATGCTTCACCAGCATAGATTAGTCTTTTTTAATAATATAATAGTTTCTTATAATTGATCAAATAAGTATATTTCTTCATTTATTACAAGTTTTGGCTATCACATGCACTAGGTCTCAGGTTCAAACTATTGAATATCTCTAAACTTATGTTTCGTCTATGTAACATTAGTTTCTTTGCTTTCCCTATGTATGAGCCTTGGCTTGGTAGCTTTTTTTTTTTTGGCTCTCCTGTGAGGCGAGATGAACGACTTTTAATTTTTGTATCTATGGTGCTGGCTTATTTGCTTGTTTCCCAGTTCTTCGCACATACAAACCAAAAGTTCGATATTTGGTCCGAAAGCTATATACATATTTCGCTACGCGATAGCTCCTTGTAAAGGCAACATGGGGATACAAGAGAGAAAGGTGTTTTTCGTGAGATATTGATTAAGGGGGTGAATAACATGGGAGAGTTACACAGATAAGGGGAGCACTTTCTCCTGCTGCTCCGCTTATCTTCTTTGGTTCTCCTCCTCTTTTTTTACTTCTACTTCCACCACCTTTTTTTGTTTATTAGGCCTTTCTTTTGGCAAGGGGTTTTAGTAAGCAGGACTCCCCCACCATTTTCCCCCTCTAAAATTTTATTTGCTCTAATAATGAGTTTTTCCCTTTTTATTGTATTTATCTTCTCTCTCTCAGGGTTAGGCTTGGGATTGAAAAAGACAGGTAGGCACTACTTTTTTTATGAGCGCGTATACCATGCTCTTAAGAGAGCATAGTATATCTATTCCCTCGGTAAGAAGAGAGGATTTTTTTAATTTGAATTTTGGAAATCCCTAGGATTTATTATTCTCAAAGAAAAAGCTGAATTTTAAGTTTCCTAACACAGATTTCACCCTCTAAAAATTAGACTTTCTCCATTCAATCTTGAGGCAATATTCTTCTCAACGCATAGAGGGTGCAAGGAAATTTCTTTGCTTGAGGTTAATCTAGGGGTTGAAGAGGTTACACTCCCAAAATATGGGGTCCTAAAGTTATTCCTAAATGAGATTTTACTTGAGCGAGTAAATAGATAGTATGATGAGGCTGCTGAAAGATAATATTGTTTGGCTTTAAAGATAGAAAGGAGTGCAATAGGTGCTAGGAATTTGTACCCGATTATCTCAGTATATATATTTGGGCATGATTTGCATAAGGTTGTAACCTTACACAATCTAAGTAAGACGCACTTCTAAACTTTGTCGAGAGATGTAATCCTGGTGTCAAATTTTATTAGGATGACCTAAAAATGTATTTTGTCATCTAACTATAAAATTTTGCCAAAAATAGTTTTGATCAACCATATCTATAAATACTTAAAAATCCTGAAAATAGACAATCCAGATAATATGTTACAAAATATACTATATTTAGGATTTGAAATTTATTTTTTTTCATATTTATACCTCTTGAGGTTGATATGAGCAATTTGATGGGTTTTCCAATGTCTAAACGATCTTTGCGATGGATTCTTTAAATGTACTTTATTTCTACAATACGAGGTTGATACCTTATATAAACTTTCGTGAAGGTCATGCTTACAATAGGGCATTCCTCTCTCACGTAAGCCACCGACCTTTTTTTTTTTTCTTTTTTTTTTTGAAAGTTAAAGAAATTTCATTTACTAAATGACCCCCAAGAGGGATAAGTATGATGTCAACCATTCTCGTAATGCATAACAGGGTGACCTCAAAAGGGACGAGTATGATACCACTTTGATCCCTTATACAAGGTGCATCTCAAAACTCCATTTTTCCCTTTTACCAATTACTATGATTACCCTCAATCTTTTTAGGAAAATATAGGTGTAATTAAGATGAGTGGCACTATGATTACCCTCAATCTTTTTAGGAAAATATAGGTGTAATTAGGATGAGTGGCAAGACAAGAATGGATATAATTCGAAATGAATACATTCAAAAAAATTGAAGTTTGGTACCAATAGGCGATAAGATGAGATAGAGTAGACTTAGGTGGACTGGTTATGTACGGCTCAGATCCAATACAACACCTATTACGAGATGCGAGTTAATTCAAGTGAAAAGCTCTAAAAAGACAAGATGTAGGCCCAAAAAGACATAGTTTAAAGTAGTAATAAAAAATATAGGGACTTATGGCTTCACTGAGTGTATAGTTCTTAGAGTAGAATGGCGAACCAGTATTTGTGTAGTTGACACCAATTAGTTGAGAAAAGCTTTGATGAAAATGATAAATGAGGCTATTTTTGTTTCAACTAAATCTAACATAGATGTTTAAAGGGGCAAGTACAAGAAAGGGAAACGCCAAGTCCTACTGAAGCACAATTCTTTATTTTTGTTGAGTAGCTCATAGTGGGCAGCCGGTGTTTAGTGCTTGACATTTAACGTGTGGGGGAAGTGCGTTTTGAATATATTTTTATGAAAGGGAGTCCAATCAAGGCAACAAACCATAGACACACAATCACAGTACAAATTCGCAAGAAAAATGTATACACTTGTGTACAGGATACTCTTGAGAAACCTATTACGATTTACATCCAATTTACAAATATAAAAAGCAAAAAGAGGGGTTTACATTCTAGTTCTAGGGCTTAGGCACACGGGTTCTCAAGGCTTGGGTTTCTTCAAATTATCTCTTCTTGTTATTGTCCTAAAAATGTTCTCCTTCATTAAATGGCATGATTGGTACGTGTGAAAATATTTTTGTGGAAGCATCATCACATAAAAAGATTAGGTGTAGAAATTTTTTCACATTAATTGGCTGATATTTAGTGTGAAAAAATACATTACGATCAATTGGTGTGAAAAACTCTTGCACCTAATCGTATGGAAGAGTTCTTGCGTATTAAAATAATTTTACCTAAGCATTTTCACACATACCAAGGTAGAAGGATTTTCATAGGCCCAAATGGGTTTGGCAGGTTTCCCTGAAATTATGAAGAACGGGAAACAAATTTAGGGCAAAATGACATAAATAAATCCTTTGAAACATTTAAGGTCAGTTTCTATTGAGAGTCTGTCCAACTTGGGGTTTATTTCTATCAAATTTTGTTAATGAGAAGGTGGAGAATTTAATTGGGCATATTTTGGTTCAAACCCCATGGGAAAACTCCCCACATTATTGAAGATTCCAGTTAGATGAAGTACCCTGCTCAGCATGCAGAAAACCTAATGCACTAATCATTGCACGTACTAAAAAAGATATTGCATTGGAAGCACAAAAATTGAGTACTAACTAACAAGGAAAAGGTTTCCATACTTCCCTTACATAAATCATATATACTTCGTCCCCATCCAACCGCCCATTACATAGAACATATATACTTCTTCCCCATCCAACCGTCCAATTTAGATAACCGTTTGATCTAATTTGACTAGTTTGATGCCTCAATGTATCTTATTTCGTTTTTTTTTTTCTAAAAATTGTATGAATAAGAAATTTTACGCGTCATCTTTTCAATGGTGCACACCTAAAAAAAATATTAAAAAGAATGTTTTAATAAAATATAATAACCAAAGTACCCCTTGAAACTTTCAGGGGTATTTTGATCATTTTATTTTATTTTTATATTTTTTACAAGTGCTTGTTTAAGAGAGGAGTGAATGCCAAAAATTTGGTGTCAAACTAATTTTTAGGAAAAAAAAATTAAAAATAAAATAATGCAGAGATGAAGCATTGTGATTGAGACCATCTCAACTATCCATTCAAAATGGACGGTTGGATAAAGGGAAGTACATATGTTTTTATGCAGTAGGGTAAGGAAACATGGAAAGATTTCCTATAAAACGGAAACATCTTATAAACTAAAGGGTTTATATTACAGAAATGGCTTGAGCCTTTGCAGTAGTTTACCGAGTTCTTTGGGGAGGTCTCTGACTCCTTTCTCACCAAAAAGTAAAGGCCCAATCCCTATTGAAATAAGACTTTTCACCACTAATACCACCTTAGAAATACCTTCAAAAAGTTAAACACTCCTAATCTACTTGAAAAAACGGATAAAGCATGTCTTCCCCATTGAATTACCCTAAAAAATAAAAGGGTTTACATTATAGCTTTAGTCGATACCACCTAGATGGGGTTTGCTGAACTCCAAACTTTACGCATCAACCTAGAGAGCAGAATAAAAATAAAATAATAATAATAATTTATAACAAAACGCATAAAAACAGATAAAGCACATTAACCATTTACCACATAGGCAATCCATTTAATTGAATGGTGGATCTAGACTTTCAAGAACTCAAGTTCATTTCTTTAATATTACTTTCTTTTTAATAAAAAAAGTACAAATCCCAACTTGAAAGATTCCTCAAACTACAAGCCCATTCTGTGTATTACATGTATTATAGAACTGTAGTAACACTAATACCCCTAAGGGGTAAAATCCCACTTGCCCTAATGGTATATAAAGCCCTCAACCGTTTGACATCAACAGAGGGGATGGTTCTGCGATGTCCTCTCACTAAATATCTGCCTAAATTTTCATTTAAGAAGAATTTAGATTTATTCTTTTTCTAATCGAAATAAACTAGAATATATATCTAAGGGCCCTCTCCAACATGCCCTAGCATGCAAAATTTGTTGAGGCAACCTACAAGTGTTCAAAGGCCTTATTCGAAACAACACTCTTTTTTGGTAAGTGATCCTCGAAACACCATTCACACCATATGATGCTCTTGTGGTATAAACAGTTCTCCATAGTCATCAACAATCACCTGCAGATAAGAAAATGAAAAACATTATTTTCCAGTGTTTAAAAACCTGGATTGTCTGGATGTAGTGACCCAGATTGGCCAAGTCGGCAATCTGGATCGGCTGAACCAGCCAAAATTCAATAAAAATAATATAATAATAGCATTGGCATTTCCCCTAGGTTGAGCTGGGGGTAGGGGGTAGGGGATAGTTCGTCCAACCGAGCCACATCGATTCTTTCTCGAGCAAATGTTTTGTCAAGAACCACCTAAACATTAAAACTCTCCTCAATCCTAAATTTCATGCAATGCACCGACGGTAGGGGCATAAGAAGAATTGAAGAACAAAACCTGTGAGCTCAAAAGTTGGAAGTTAAGTTGGGGTCCTGAGGATCTAAAATAATTCCAATTATTTGTAAAATGATCTGCCATCCTAATAGAAATCCTTGATCTTATTCAGATTTAGTATGTTCTATTTAAGCAAATAGGTATATCATACACCACCTATATATGGGCAACGGCACATAACAAGGGCATCACGGTCATTATGGATATTAACCATAACCCATTGTGTACCATATACAATGCACCACTGGTGTATGGTATACTTTCCCTTGAATAAAAGCTTTTCTAAATAAGAGGTATTGATGTTACAAACCTCATAGTTATCTCCTTTGTAAGTGTACTCCACTCGCAGTTGCTTCGGGTCTCCTGGGCACGGATCACAGAACCCCATGATACCGGACTTCTTTATGCCCTCGTGAAGCTAAGCAAATGCAATAAAAAACAAATAAGAAGCTTTAAAATAAGAAATGACAATAACAGCATATTTTATGTTTTTTTATCTTTTGGGTAGTGCAGTGGTAAGATTCAAACTTGGGATACAATGAACTAAGGAATTCAAACAAGTATACTTTTGCTATTGGTCCCCACTGTCCATTGCAATGATGGATGGTGAGAGAGAGAGAGTGGAACCATCCAGAACATGGCCTCAATGTGTGTGTGTGTGTGTGTGTTTTTTTTTGGTAGACCAATAGGGAAGCATCCCCTGGCCACGTATGCCTTGAGTCCAATCCTGACAATGGCCCCAAACTTGGTTACTCCTTATAACATTCCACCATTTCAATGTGAGTGTGATGACTCAACAGGTAATTGTGTTCCTAGTCCATTGGATTATAGTATACTTGGAAAAAATAGGGAAATAGAGGACCCAATGATTAGAGAGAAAAGTTCATATGTTACAGAAACACTAAAGGAAGCAATCCCCTACATATTTAAGCTTGCTTGGAAGACATGCTCCTCCTAAATAAACCCATCCATGCAGTAATTTCTAAGATAAATTCACAATAGTTGAAGGGAAAGAGGAGAGCATACCTTGAGCTGCCCATTATCAGTCACCAAAAAGTTAAGAGGCAAGGTGACATCAATAACTTGTGAGACCAACTCATCATCTTCTTCCCCACCTTGCTCGCTCCTTTTCTTGGAAGCTTTGAGGTTCCCATATATTGCTTTTGTAATAACCAAACCCCCTGTTTCTGACTGCTTATTTTTCTTTCTAATGGCAACATTTTGCAACAATTGCTGAGCTTTTTCAGCTGCAACCTTCGCCTCCTTAACCTGAAGATAACCAATACTTAATATGTCCGTATCATTTTTTGAAGCGGTAATGAATATTTTCTTGTAAAAAATCTTGAGTCATTTTGACATGAATAATTTGTCATCCTCCAAAATTCATACATAAGAAAGCAGGTATTTTGGGTCATTTTGATTCATAAGGGAGTGGGAGTTTATGGTCATTATCCATGGAAAGATACAAAAAGGGAGAAATGTCAGAAGTTACTCCAGGACTTTCTCGTCATTGTCTGTGGAACTGCTTCTATGGCATAGCAAAGCATAAAAATATAATCAAATCAGGAAACCTCAAAGTTTTCTTATAGACAAATGTGAAAAATGTCCATAAAATCTAAAAAAGAATAAAGTTTTTAATATGTGACATGAAATGCAGACCAGAAAAGAGTCTTTTACATAGATATGTTAGGCAGATCAACATGGTTTTCATGCACATACAACACCACCCAGTTCACTATCATTAGTTTGAAGTTTGAACAATAAAGTTTTTCTAATCAGGAGCGAAATTGTGACGCAACATTTTCCATGGAAATGCAAGTTTGGGGGAAAACAAAAGAAAAAGAAAAAGAGACATGCATAATAACAGTAATAGGTATCCTTGAAGTAAAAGGCCAAGTATTATTTAGAACTAATCTATTTTACCTGAGCTGAAGTACTTTGGCATTTTTCTAGAGCTTTTCTTCTCTCCCTCCTAAGATAATACGGTTTGACAACCAAAGTCTGCCATATAACATAAAAATACCACATACAAGGGTAAATTTTAAAGTGCATCATAACATGTGGAATTGAGGTAAAGCCCCCTATCTATAATCTTTGGACCATGGAAAACCATTGTCCATTGGGGTCATCACCATCCAATGAAATGATGGATGGTGATTGAGTGAGAGACTGTATCCACCACTAGGTCATTACGTGCACTGGTGGGTATCAATCTATCAACACATCCATCATGTAATCAGACTACCATGATTCCAATCACTACAGCTAGGCAAGCGAGTTATATACCTTCAAAAAGAAATAAAGCGAGGAAGGCATCATCAATGCTCCAGTTGCAAAAAATAGATTCAAATGCCTTGAAAGCAACACCTGCTCACAACCATAAAGTGTGTCAGAATGGAGATCTTGAGTATAAACAGAAAAACAGTTGCATGGCATAAACATAGGGAAACTACACAGAAACTCAACTCTAAATAGGACAAATTGCAGGCGTTTGGTTTGTAAAGATCAAGCAACACCTAGGCAGGAACGGTAACAAGTTCCTTTGAAGTTACTTAATGAATATATATATATATATATATATATATATATATATATATATAGTAATAC